ATGTATGTATGTATGTATGTATGTATGTATGTATGTATGTCTGTCTGTCTGTCTGTCTGTCTGTCTGTCTGTCTGTCTGTCTGTCTGTCTGTGTGCTCATGTATCCCACCATAACTCTGGAACTTGGTACACAGATTACTTACTCTCTGGAAACAAATACTGTGGGGGTAACACCCCTAACACCCCTCGGGGGGGGATGTTCTGTTAGGATACAGCCTGTTCTGCCTTAAAATGGCTTCTACCATACTGCCTTAAAATGGCTTCTACTGTAGAGCACTGTGAAGTTGCCATGGTAACAGCTTCACAGTACTCCACAAAGGAGCTCCCTCTCTAAGGGGGAAAAATCCAACATTAGAAATTGCAGCGACGTTCATGGAAGGAGGGTTGGGGTAAATAAATACCCAGGCAGCACTGGTTATCAGTTAGTGGTGAATAATACTCTTTGTTATTTGAAAAGAGCTACATAAATGATGAAACTGATACTGGAAAATATAGCTATAGCACTTAGACTTATATACCACCCATAGCATTCTATGGGCAATTTACAATGTAAAAGCATTATTTGCACATTGCTGCCAACATTTTATTGACTTTGAAAGGATGAGCCGCATCAGGATCAAACTCCAGGTTGTGGGCAGAATTTGCCTGCAATATTGCACTTTAACCACTGAGCCACAAGGGTTATAGTGGGTAGCATAGGTTGATATGTTGGGATCTTGATGTTGATGAGATTTAAGGCATACTAACTGCAACAACCTTGATCCAGATAGTTAGGAAAAACTGCATAAAAAGGCAGAAAACCTCACAACCTTGTGTCAAAAACCAGATGATATGATTGAATTTGGCAACAACTGCAAAAAGAAAATCATGCTGAGCAAAACCCATGATCACACTGCACTAGATAATTCAAAATATCGAGTGAGTCCTCCCTCATTCCCCAAAATTGCTATGAAATAAAACCTTTAAAAATGCAAGACTGTTCCAGGGATATAGTAAGTTTACAAGCAACAGTGGGTTAAAACACTCAATGAGAAATAGGGACCATTTAATCTGGTTTAGAAGATCTACACACTCACCCCTCCTCCTACAGCCCAGCCAGCAATTAACTGAGAGCATTGAGAAAAATCAGGATCAGCTCCATAGCAGTCATTGACTCCAGTGGGAAGCACACTTCCATTGCCGCAGGCGTATGCTATGATGTGGTGCACTAATGTTATATTCCGAGGTGTTATCCTGGCCTCAAACTGGACAGAAAAAAAGACAAGGTCAGACCAGAAAGGAATCAGCAAGTGAAAAGCTCTTAGAATCTGGGGTAATTGTCAATCTCACCAGCAGAACACCCTGCCTGATTTATCAGTTACCTTATAAATATGATGTTTTGTCTTGACCATGGGTAAAGGGAGAAAGGTACAGGCATAGGTGGTCTCATCTTCTGGGACAGGAAACTGAAAAGGGAAGCCAAGGCACATGGTAAATATCTCAGACCCTGAAAGAGATATGTATTGCTACACACCTCCCAACGTCCGATAAGAACTCACAGGTTAGGCCTCCTCCGGGTGCCGTCTGCCAGACAATGCCGGCTGGCGACCACTCAGGGGAGAGCCTTTTCTGTTGCTGCTCCGGCTCTGTGGAACGAGTTACCAACAGAGATCCGGACCCTCCCCCCCCTTGCGGCCTTCCAAAAAGCCACCAAAACCTGGCTTTTCCGGCAGGCCTGGGGTTGCTGACTCAAACCAGGTCAACCCCCAATTAATTCCGGATGTATGTTTGTTTTTAAAATGTTTGTATTATTTTATGTTCTTCCCCTGTATGTTATTTTATTTTATTCGTACTTGTAAGCCGCTCTGAGTCCCCCCCCGGGGTTGGGCGGCATATAAATCCATTAAATTGCTAATTGCTAATTGCTACTTTTCAGAAGTTCCCTTCCTGTGGGGCCTGGGGGTGCCTCTCTTGGCGGGGGACCTCCCTCTGGAAACTGGGGGAACCCCCCTGGAGATCCCCTTGGCTGGATCCGAATCCCCATGGGACCTAGGCCTGGCACCCCCGCTCCTCACCGCTTCCG